ATACCTTTATTCCTGGAGGGCAGCGTATGGCGATCCGTACGTGCTCTCGGACTGGCCGTCACCTGGCTACATTCACTCGACAGCCTGGGTCCAATCTGTACACACTGACCACTACGTCTGCACAAGTGGCTGAGTCAGGTCAAGTAGCTACGTCGAGTCGAGCGTCTGCGTCAGGGCAGTTAGCTGCGTCTTGCTCGTGCCGAGTACTCACGCAGGAGACTCAGCGCTGGAACCACCGTCTTGGTCACCCCTCCCTGCAGCGTCTGCGCCGCATGCACTCCCGGCTCCTCGTCACTGGCCTCCCTGAGACCCTGCCCCCCCTCCCGCGCTCACTTGCGCCGCCGTGCCTTCCTTGCGTTGAGGGGCGGCAGCGCGCCGCTCCTCACTCCTCCGAGTTTCCTCCGACCACTGCTCCTCTGCAGACTCTCCATATGGACGTGTGGGGCCCGGCCCCCGTCGGTGGAACGGACCAGGAGCGCTACTTCTTGCTTGTGGTTGACAACTACACATGCTACACCACAGTCTTCCCCTTGCGGCGCAAGGCGGATGTCAATGGTGTCTTGATCCCCTGGATCCGTGCTACTCGTCACCAGCTGCGCGAGCGGTTTCGGCGGGACTTTCCAGTCATGCGTCTGCACTCTGGCAGGGGTGGTGAGTTCTCCTCTGGCGTCCTTGAGACGTTCTACGAGGATGAGGGCATCACCCAGTCGTTCACGCTTCCGGCCTCTCTGCAGCAAAATGGGATCGCTGAGCGTCGCATTGGCCTGATCATGGAGGTTGCTCGTACCTCCATGATCCATGCGGCTACTCCCCATTTCCTGTGGCCGTTTGCGGTCCGATAAGCCGCGCATCAGCTCAACCTCTGGCCTCGTGTCTCTGCTCCAGAGACCTCGCCCACACTCCGTTGGACGGGACAGCCTGGTGATGCGTCGTCGTTTCGGGTCTGGGGCGCGCTCTCCCTTGTTTGCAATACCAAAGCGAGCAAGCTCTCCCCTCGCACTCTTCGCTGTGTCTTCCTGGGCTTCCCCACCGACGCTCCACCCTGGCAGTTCTACCACCTTGCCTCGCGTCGTGTTCTGTCCTCTCAGGATGTCACCTTTGACGAGTCGGTCTGTTACTATCGACTTCACCCGCACGCGTCCCACCCGGTCCCTCTCGCACCTCTCTTCCTGGTACCAGTCCCCCCCCCGGTAGACCCCCTTCCCCCACAGGGTCTTGCTCCCTCAGGTGTGTCCCAGGTAGACCCACCCCCCTTGGATGAGCCAGTTGAGATCTCTTCTGACTCCTCTGACTCACCTGAGGGGGGTGACGCCGTCGCCGACGACACGGCGACCACTCGCCGCACTCCTCGCTTGGAGACCCCCCCGGGTTTCCCGCCACTGCCGTCTTCGCCGCCTCCATAGCCTGCTGTTGTGGACTCTGGAGCTGAGACTACGGGAGCTGGGGCTGGGGGTGGTGAGTCCGGGAGTGCCCGCTCTCCTCGTCTGGCTACACCCCCCGGGTTCCTACCTCTGCCGTCTTCGCCGCCTCTGCTGTGGACACTGGAGCACAGACTGAGGGTACTGAGCCCGGGGGTGCTGCGACTGAGGGTACTGAGCCTGCGAGTGCTGAGACCAAGGGTCCTGCCTCTGGGGGTGCTGCGAGTTCGGGTGCTGACTCTGAGGGTGCTGCGAGTCCTTCTGGTGTTGGTGTCGTCGGAGCTCCTACCGTAGGACCTGGAGCTACTGGTGCTGGAGGTACTGGAGGTACTGCTGGTGCTGGAGGTCCTGGAGGTGCTGCTGGTGCTGGAGGTCCTGGAGGTGCTGGAGGTACTGGAGGTGCTGCTGGTGCTGGAGGTCGTGGAGCTGCTGGTGCTGGAGGTACTGGAGGTACTGCTGGTGCTGGAGGTTGTGGAGCTGCTGGAGCTGCTGGTGCTGGAGGAGCTGGAGCTGCTGGGGCTGGAGGTGCTGGAGGTGCTGGAGGTCCTGGTGGAGCTACTGGTGCTCTTCGCCACCTTCTCAGTCTTCAGCCAGGTGCTACTGGTTTCCCTGTGGCAGGTACTACTCCTCCGTTGCTGTGTCCACCGGCGGACGAGTCACAGCCGCCGCTGCTACCACACTCCCCACTGCCTGCTCCTGCTCCTTACACTGCGGTGTCAGAGTCCCTGACTGAGCGTCGAGAGCCTGAGACTCGTGCTTCCACCCCTGAGCGTCGAGAGCCTGAGTCTAGCTTTGACCTTGAGCCTGAGCCTAGAGCTACTGTCCGTGCTCGTGTTCCTCGTGTTCGTCGTCACCGTGCTCCAGCTGTCCTCGGCACTCACGATATGACTCTCCGACCTTCCTCTGTTCCTCAGCGTGTTGTCCTACCGTTACCTCCTGCGTCCTCTTTGCCTAACGTTGTTGACCCTCCGTCTGACCTTGCTCGTGCGTCCAGTTCGACTATTACTCGCCTTCTTGCTACGGTTGTGACGGACCCTACGTTCTCGTCTCCTGCTGCGTCTGCCCTAGCAGCTGAGCTCGTTGACTTTGCTGCTGTGTACCGCCTCGACTACCTTGCGAGTCTTGTCTCTGACCCTGTCCCTGCCTGTCCTCCGTCCGTCGGGGGTGAGACTCCTCTTGGCTGCACTGCCCTTGGCTGTGACGTTCTTGAGGACAAACAGGAGGAGATGGAGTGCCTTGCTGCCGCTTCACCCCATCACGCGACCATGCTGCTTGCCCCTGAGGGAGACCCACATGCACTTGACATCCCCACCCCGCGCTCCTACAGGGAGGCGATTTCGGGTGAGTACTCCTCTCAGTGGCAGACAGCCATGGACGCAGAGATGGCTTCCTGGAAGTCCACAGGCACCTACGTCGACGAGGTTCCCCCACTTGGGGTGAACATCGTCAGTGGCATGTGGATTTTCAGGGTGAAGCGGTCGCCGGGTTCTCCGCCTGCCTTCAAGGCACGTTACGTTGCTCGAGGCTTCAGTCAGCGTGAGGGGGTCGACTTCTTTCAGACCTTCTCCCCCACCCCAAAGATGACCACTCTTCGGGTGTTGCTACACGTTGCAGCTCAGCGTGACTACGAGCTACACTCCCTCGACTTCTCGACAGCTTTCTTGCAGGGTAGCCTTCACGAGGCCATCTGGTTGCGCCGTCCACAGGGCTTCATTGGGTCGTTTCCTGCGGGTACTTAGTGGAGCCTACGACGACCAGTGTACGGCATGCGTCAGGCACCCCGTGAGTGGCACGACACACTGAGGACGACACTTGCGGCTCTTGGGTTTGCTCCTTCGACTGCTGACCCGTCGCTGTTTCTACGCACCGACACTACTCTGCCGCCGTTCTACATCCTCGTGTACGTTGACGACTTGGTTTTTGCTACAGCTGACACTGAGGCACTGGCCCTAGTGAAGGCGGAGGTGCAGGAGAGACACACCTGCACTGACCTGGGTGAGCTGCGGAGCTATCTTGGCTTGCAGATCACCCGGGACAGACCACGGCGCACCATCACCCTGACTCAGTCATACATGGTGCAGCAGGTCCTTCAGCGCTTCCGCTTCACGTACTCCTCGCCACAGCCCACTCCTCTGGCTACCGGCCACTCGCTCTCAGCTCCACCTTCGGACGAGTCCGTAGAGCCGAGTGGTCCGTACCTAGAGCTTGTGGGCTGCCTCATGTACCTGATGACGTGCACACGACCTGACCTCGCGTACCCTCTCAGCCTTCTGGCTCGCTACGTGGCACCCGGCAGGCACCGAAAGGTGCACTTTGATGCTGCGAAGAGGGTACTGCGTTGCTTGTGCAGCACATCGAGCATGGGGCTCGTGCTTGGAGGACGGGGTTCGGTGGTTCTCACAGGACACTCGACGCCTCTTGGGCTGATGACCAGGCGACTCTGCGTTCGTCACAGGGCTACACTTTCAGTCTTGGCGCTGGTTCTGTCTCGTGGAGGTCCACTCGTTCTTCTTCTGTGCTTGGTTCCAGTTGTGAGGCCGAGATCTACGCTGGGGCCATGGCTGCACAGGAGCTCCGCTGGCTCACCTACCTGCTGACCGACTTGGGGGAGCAGCCTCGTTCTCCTCCAGTTCTGTACGTCGACAACAAGGCAATGCTTGCGTTGTGTCGCAAGCAGAGACTGGAGCACAGAACAAAGCACATTGCTCTGCGCTACTTCCTTGCGCGTGAGCTGCAGCAGCGTGGTCAGCTGCGCCTTGCTTTCGTGGCCTCTCGGGCCAACAGTGCTGATGTCTTCACCAAGGCCCTTGGGGCTGGTGATCATCAACGTTTCTGCACTGCTCTTGGGCTTGTGCCCACTCTGCCTCACCTGCTGGTTGCTTGACTTGCTCTTGTTGTATACTGCGATATATATCTTTATACCTGCATGTTTACTTTTGCTAGGTTGTAATCTGTGTACTGCCTTGCTATTATAAATCTGCAAGTGAACTGGCCTTGTGGCCGCCTGCTTGTGCTCAGATTGTGTGGTGTCCTTGAGATCCACCCTGGGCTTTGCCTTGTTCTCTTGCTTGAGTGGTCTTGTGACTATTGTTAAGTTTGGCTATCCCCTACTTCACCTATGGGGGTGTGTCAAAACATTTTGTTATGTTCTTACTCTAGGTTGTGTAGGGTCACACCTTAGAGGGTACAACCCAACTCTCTCGACATCCTTGTACCCCCTCCCTCTTACCTAATCGACACTCATTCCTCACCTAGCTAGTGATTCTAACAATGCCTTCGCTCATTGTACTCTTGCTTCGATAGTGCAATTCTCGTTCGTTCACTCAATTGCAAACTCGTAACAGTTTCACATCATTGTGTTGCAGAGAAACACTCCAGCAGTTACTACCGTACCTTGAATCACTGCATTCCTGTAATGATTTATATTATATTAAAAAAAGATCATATCGGAAACTGAACGTTTCACAAAAATCGTACAAATGAACAATCTACGGTTTTTGGATAGCCAAGGGTACTGCTACAGAATCTGCTACAATCTTGCTGGGTACTACCTTTGTTAGCAAGCTAGTAACTGTTTAATAGTTAGCGGGACGAATGCTGGCGTATCCATGGATGCCCTGAAAAACAAACAAGCAACAGAGGATGTCAAGATAAGAGAGATAACACGTAACTAAACCCTAAAGGAAACGATTTACATATCTCAATCACCAAAAACTGACACTTTCCGCCAGCAATTCGCACTTACCAAGAATCTGAAGGCACGTGATTCGCTCCTGAGGCTTCTTCGCGAGCATCCGGCCAATCAGATGCTTGCACTCGTCCGAAACATGCGCCCACTTCGCCGACCGGAAGCTCGCCTCGCGGGTGGTGACTGCCTCCTGCACGGACTGCTTGGATGCCGCCCAGAAGGGCGGCACACCTGACATGGCAATGTACATGACGACTCCCGTGCTCCACACGTCCACTGCGGGGCCATAGCTCCCATCCCACACCTCTGGAGCCATGTACTCGGGCGTACCGATAGTGTCGTGGAGCAAAACCCCTGGAGGGTGGGGAGTGTGGGAGATATGGGAACGAAAGGTGATGGTTGGGTGTATTGTGGAGGGCAAGAGAGAAACCCGTCCCACACCTCTGGCGCCATGTACTCGGGCGTGCGTGCTTATGGTGTCGTGGAGGAGAACGCCTGATGGGTTGGGAATGTGTGGGAGGTATGGGAAAACATGGGTGAGTGTGTTGAGCAGGGGGAGAAAGTCACCCACCCCATACCTCCGGCGCCATGTACTCGGGCATGCCGATGGTGTTGTGGAGCAGAACGCCTGGTGGGTGGCGTGGGGAAGCAGGGGAGATGGTTGCATGCGAGCAGGGGGGAGGAACTGCACCCGTCTCACACCTCCGGCGCCATAAGCTATGCCGATGGTGTCGTGGAGCAGAACGCCTTGTTGTGCAAGTGTTGGGCACGACTTGATGAGTGAGCACGAGTGAAGAGACAAGTGCATACCTTCATGCGGACTTAGAGAAGTGGGAGAGAAGACCGGCAAGGGTGCAGGCAGAATCAGTTAAGGGACTCCAATGAAGCACAGCACGGTAAGATTCGGTGACGTGCGGCGCAGTGCGGTCTCAAGATCGCAGTGCAGTGCAGTGCAGTGCAGTGCAGTGCAGTGCAGTGCGGTGCAGTGTGCAGCGGTGCATCATAAGGAACAATAAAGGCATACCCTCCTGGAAGAACGTGGCGACGCCAAAGTCGACAAGCTTGATGCGTGTGTCACTCCCAGGTTCCAGCAGTAAAATGTTTTCCGGCTCGATGTCCCGGTGAATCACCCCGTGGCGGTGGCAGAGCAGCAGAGCACTGCAACTCAGTGCCATGCGGTTCAGAGCGGTGCCATGCAGTGCAGTGTGGTGCAGTGCATTGACAAGTACCATGCCCATACGTACCTTCCTGGAAGAAGGTCGCAACGCCGAAATCGACAAGCTTGATGCGTGTGTCACTCCCAGGCTCCAGCAGTAAAATGTTTTCCGGCTTGATGTCCCGGTGAATCACCCCGTGGCGATGGCAGTGCAGCAGCGCCTCTATGATTGCGCGGCACAGGTGGGCGCCGAGAGGCTCTGAGTATACTCCGCCCTTGGTGATTCGATCGAATAGATCGCCGCCGCGACAGAACTCCATCACTAAATGCACGTACTGAGGGGGGGAAAGGGGAGATGGTGAGAGGGGAGGTGGTGGTGGGAAAGAGCAGGGATTCAAGAGTGGGGAGAAGAGCGGGTGGTGGTGTTTTGGGGTTTGATGTCTTGGTGCATGACTGTGACTGTGTGGTGGCGGTGGCAGTGCAGCAGCGCCTCTGTGATGGCGCGGCACAGGTGGGCGCCGAGAAGCTCTGAGTACACTCCGCCCTTGGTGATTCGATCAAAGAGGTCGCCGCCGTGACAGAACTCCATCACTAAATGCACGTACTGGAGGGGGAGAGGATGGGGAGAAGGGGGGCGGGGAGGGACGAGAGAAGGGATTTGGGAAAGGATATGAGGAGGACTATGGAGATTGAACTCGGTGTATTAGTGTGTGTGGCAGCGGTGGCAGCTCAGCAGCGACTCTGTGATCGCGGCACATTTGTTTTCAGAGGCTCTGTCTGTGTACACTCCGCGCTTGGTGATGCGATCGATTAGCCATGTGATAAAAGTGTTGTTTTGAGACGTCTCAAAACATCGCGGCACAGGTGGCGCCAGAGGCTCTGTCTGAGTACACTCCGCGCTTTGTGATGCGATCGAACAGATCGCCCCCGTGACAGAACTCCATCACTCAATGAGCGTACTGAGGGGAAGGGAGGGGGGGGGGGTTGGAGAGAGGGGGGGGGGGGGGGGGGTGGAGAGGGAGGGAAGGGGCGCGAGGTGGGTTTTGAGGCTCCGAGTATGCGCCGCCCTTGGTGATGAGATTGAATAGATTTCTGCCCTGGCAGAATTCCATCACCAGGTGGACGTGCAAAGGGGGGGGAAGGGGAGAAAGGGAGTAAGGGGATGGATGGGCTTTGGCAACGCACTTAAAAAACGTTTTAAAACCCAAGAAGATTGCTGCTCCAACGAAACACCCAACACCAGGACATACTGAAAGGAGGAACGCTGAGAAGGAGACGGGAGATTGAGAGGAGAGTGTGCGTGAGTGGGCTGGGACGTGCGAGGGGTCTAGACCCAGACTAGCGGATGAAAGCAAATTGAGCACTGGGAACAGTGACATCTGCTAGAAGAGGGAGGGGGTCCTTCTTAGAGCCTTAAAAAAGGCCTACAGTGCAAGAGGTCACACTGTTCAAGATGCGGAACAGCGGAATATGACAGTGAAGGAATGACACATGCAGTAGTGACACACGCAGAGGCGAAGCATGGAATGTAGAATCTGAGCATACAGGCTGTACCTTTGCATCTTCGACTGCATCGTGCGAGTGACTTTATAGGGAGGATGCCCTTGAGTACGTACAAGAGAAGCATGCTGGACTTATATCTGATGCGCCTTAAGTCGTCTCACAGCACAGCGCCGTACCTTTGCGTCTTCGATTGCATCGTGCAGTGTGACAATATACGGATGCCCCTTCAGTACAAGCATGCTCGCGACCTCCATTCTGATGTCATCCGCTGCCTCTTGGCTCTGGTGTGGGGGGTGGTAGGGAGGAGTGGGGATGGATGGAGTGCGGTGCAGGACGGTGAGTTGAGGTGGCAGGGGAGGAAGGGGGGGGGGGGTGGGTGTGCATGCTCGCAACCTCCATTCTGATGTCGTCTGCTGCTTCTTGGGACTGAGGTTGGGGGGGACGGGGGGGGGTGGTGGGGTGGGATGGGGTGTGGTGCAAGATGGTGCATTGAGGTATGACGGGAGGGTAGGGTGAGTTGTGCGTCCTGGCAACCTCCATTCTGATGTCATCAGCTGCTTCTTGACTCTGATGTGGGGGGTGAGCAACAGGGGGGTGAGTGGGGATGGATGGAGTGCGGTGCAGTGTGGTACAGTGTGGTGCATTGTGGTGGGGGGGGGGAAGGGGAAAGTTGGGTTGTGCATGATGACAACCTCTATTCTGATGCCATCTGCTGCCTCTTGGGGCTGATGCAGGGGGTTGAGCAGTGGGGTGTGCGGGGGAGTGGGGATGGATGGAGTGCGGTGCAGGATGGTGCATTAAGGTGGGAGGGGAGTGGGGGAAGAGGGTTGTGCCTGCTGGTGACCTCTACTTTGAACTTGCCTCTTGGGTGTGAAGGTTGGGAAGTTGAGGAGTGAGGGATAGGGGAGGGATGGAGTGCGATGCAGGATAGGAGGTTGAGCATAGAGCTAGGAGGAAAGGGGAGGGGAGGGTATGCGATGTGACGCAGGATGTTGGGGGGGGGTGGGGGCGGAGTGGTGTGGGCGGGTTTTGAGCTGTGGTGGGAGGAGGGGGCGGGAAGCAAGGCGTGTGATCTAGAATGGGGTTTGGGGGTGCACAAACCAGAGAGTGATGGTGTTGAGAAATGGGTGTAGACAGCAAGGGGGAGCCAGCATTGGAAAGAGGTGTGGGACGGAAAACCAGTGAGGAGCCAAATTGGTGGTTCAGCTGCCAGCATTGGAAAGAGGTGTGCTTGGGAGGGAGACAAGCAAGCATTCTGAGAGAGAAAAAAACCCCCCTTAAAAGTAAATGTAGAACGTGGGACCAGTTAACAAACGAGTTTTGAGACGCCTGAAAACCTAAAAGTAACTTTTGAGAATTCTCAAAAGTAAATGTAGATAGTGGAACCAATTAGCATACAGCTGTTTGTTGAGAAAGCCTTATGTTCTACCCAAACAGTCTTCTTAATTTTTATGTTATTCTTTCTCTCTTTCTTTCTATGTCTCTTTAAACTTTCTTTTTATCGTTCGTTGCTCAATCTGGACCGTCCGTACAACCACTCACCTTGATGCGGGCCTTCGTGATGGTCTTGTAGGCGAGCACATGCCCCGAGGAGATCTCCAGGCACTGCACTTCAATACCTTCATCCTGGCCATTCATTCTACCAAGCTTTCATCCCAACCGTCTGTTCAGCCACCCACCATGATGCGGGCCTTCTTGATGGTCTTGCAGGCGAGCACATGCCCCGAGGAGATCTCCAGGCACTTGCGAATGACCCCATACTCACCGCCGCTCAGCCCCTCCTTGTGCAGCACATACCGCACAGCCAGGTCCTTGTATGGCTTCTTCAGAACTCACTTTGCCCTGCCCCATGAACGGACACACCATGCACGGCGCCGCCAGCACATACCGCGCCGCCAGGGCCCCATGAACGGACACACCATGCACGCACTGCCCTTGTACCCAACCTTCATCTCAACCGTCGATCAGATCAAATACCTTGATCCGCGCCTTTTTTATAGTCTTGCATGCGAGCACATGCCCAGAAGAAATTTCCAGGCACTTGCGAATGACCCCATACTCGCCGCTGCCCAGCTCCTCCTTGTGCAGCACGTAGCGCACCGCCAGGTCCTTGTATGGCTTCTTTAGGATGTAGTCTGAGGGGCGGATGCTGCCATACTGCCTCATCACTGGTAACCCGCTGCTGCTGCTCGTACCAACACCGATCGCACCCTTGGTGGCACCGCCAGCACCGGCTGCAGCAGCGCCGGTGGCAGTAGCACCGGCAGCAGCAGCAGCACGAGCAGCAGAAGCACCAGCGCCAGCGCCAGTGCCAATCGCAGCACTGAGCCTCCCTGCTTCCCCTCCTCCTCCTCCTCCGCCTCTTTCTCTTCGCCCCGACCCCACTCCCACCCCTCCTCCGCTGCCCTGGCTTGCCAGCTGCGCCAGAATGCTATCAGCTTGCTGCTTCTTCCCTGCTCCCGCCGCTTTCTTCTTATTATCCAATTCCGAGTGCGTGGAGACCTTTTCCAGCATGAGAGCCGACCCTAGAGGGCCCTTCTTCTTCTCATGCTGCGTCATCAGCTGGGTTTGGAGAGCCAGGGAGGAGTGCAGCAGCTGCTGCTGCAGCTGCCGCTGGGTTGGTTTGCTGCTGCTGCCGCTGCTGCTGCCGCCGCCGCCGCTGCTAATGTTGTAACTGCTGCCGTCAACGCTGGTGCAGCCGGGAACAAATCTCCTGCCTTCACTGTGACCACTATCACCTCTGCCGCTGCCGCTGCTGCCGCCGCCGCTGCCGCTGCCGCCGCCGCCGCCGCCGCCGCTGCTGCTCCCTATCTCTCCGTCCATGACCTTGCCCTGTTCCTTGGCATGTCCTTTCCCTTTCCCATCATACTCCCTGGCCTCTTCCTCCCCTCGCCGTCCCTTACTCGCTCCCACCACACCGACCCCTCCTGATGCCCTCCCTCCCCCATCCTGCCTCTGGCCCAGCAACTCAGCTAACTTCCCATGAGGAATCGATTCGACGTCATAATCAGACAAAATCACCCGCCCAGAGGAAGCACCGCCCTTGCCCTGTCCTGTGGACGCTCCCGCCCCAGAACCCACGGTATCTCCTCTCGGGGCAATTACCCCCGAAATACCCAGTGCGCGCCGTGCTCCACCCCCTGCAGCAGCCTCCCTGCGCGCCCTGTCCCTGTGAGCCAGACGCTCATGAAGTGCTTTTGCTGACACTGCAGCAGCTGCAGCTGCTGTTGCTGTTGCTTCTGCTGCTGCTTCTCCTCCTCCTACTGCCACCGATCCTGCTGCATACTCCGACTGATCCGGGGGCGACACAGGGGGGGTAACCAGAAGTGACGCAGGCACTCTCGGAAGCTCGTCAGCGCTGTGCTGGCGGCGGCGCACTTGATGCCGAGACTTGCCGCTCACACCGCCACCAGTACCACCTACCCCAACACCACCTTCCCTTTCTCCACTCCCCAACGGACTCCCCCCTCGGCTATCCACCCCTCCCTTCTCCCCCTCCTCCCCCTCCTCCTCCTCCCCACCATGCCTCTGCTTCCGCCTTCCAAACCTACCCCGAATCCCCCCCACGCGGCCTGCTACCTCACTCGTCGGCCTCCTCCCCCTGTCACTCTCCCCACCTGCAGCGTCTGAAGACTTGAGGGAGAAGGACGCGAGAGCAGCAGGAGCCTCCTGGGAGGTCGGCCTATAGCTGCCACTACTGCCCCCCATGGGAACACCGCTGCTGAAGCTGGGAGCGCTGCTGGGAGGGGCAGCAGTGGCAGCTGTAGCAGCTGTGGTGCTGCTTGTGGTGGTGGTGCTGCTGCCAGTGGGAGAGGTGGAGTCTGGGAGGAGGGAGCGGAGGCGGGAGGATGCGGCGTGCAATATTCCCTTGATTCCCAAACTGCCCCTCGGACTTTTCACCTTCTCCTTCCCCTGCTGCTGCTGCTGTTGCTGCTGCTGCTGCTGTTGCTGCTGCTGCTGCTGCTGCTGCTGCTGCTGCTGCTGCTGCTGCTGCTGCTGCTGCTGCTGCTGCTGCTGCTGCTGCTGCTGCTGCTGCTGCTGCTGCTGCTGCTGCTGCTGCTGCTGCTGCTGCTGCTGCTGCTGCTGCTGCTGCTGCTGCTGCTGCTGCTGCTGCTGCTGCTGCTGCTGCTGCTGCTGCTGCTGCTGCTGTTGCTGCCCCTCATGCTCCTGCTCCCCCTTTACCACCTCATCCTCTACCCTTTTCCCCTCACCTCGCCTCTCGCCCGTCCTCTCCCTCCTCCCAACATCTCTCTCCCCCGTTCTCTCTTTCGACCTAGGCTGAGACCTCTCCCGTGCTCTGCTAATCCTAGATCCCAATAGCTCGCTTATATTAGCAGAACCCTGATACGGCCTGTGCAGCCTTCCTTTGGGTACTTCCTCTCTCGCATTAAACGACCCGGAATCCGTGTCTTCGCTGCCCCAATACCCGTCAAACTGCCCGGAAATATTTGCGGCAGTGGCCGGCCTGGTGCTGACTGGGGAGTAAAGGTCGCCGGAATGACTTGCTTCTTTTTCAGCTGCCCGTTGGATCGAGTCAAAAATAGCTTCACTGCTTGTGGCGTCAATAGGGGGAAAGGAGTGGAGAGAGGAGCCTCGCCTGTGCCTTGGCTTGGGACAGGCAGAACCAGCACCGGAGGCAGCAGCAGCAGCAGCAGCAGCACCAGCACCAGCAGCGGCAGCAGAAGCACCACCAATACCACCAGATATCCTACAGCTGCCACTAGCACCAGCAGCACTGCCAAAACGATCCGCGTTACGAGCTGTCCCGATAGCAGCCTGCTGTGGCAGAGAGTTGAAGGGCGTGTCTCCGCTAGAGGAGTCCAGGGGAGAGAAGGAATGGAAGGACGCTCCTCGCCTGTGCCTGGACTTCGGCCGAGCACTCACCGCTGCTACCGCTGTGCCACCACCAGCAGCACCAGCAGCAGCACCGCCACCACCGCCGCCGCCACTGCCACCACTACCACCGCCGCCGCTGCCGCCGCCGCCACCACCGCCGCCGCTGCCGCTGCCGCCACCACCGCCGCCAGTGCTGCTGCTGCTGCCGTGACCACCACCCCCTGCGCCGGCGACGCATTTTCTATCCCCACGAGCATCACCTCGGGTGCTACTACTGGCTCTTGTGCCCCTGCGTTCTCGCTCCTCCCGGTCACTCCCCTCCTCCCCCTCGTTCCCCTCCTTCAGCTCCTCTCCCTCTTTCAGTTGCGCCACCAGCTGGCGCCAGCTCAAGTTCCCCGCGTCCCCCTCCCCGCCCGCCCCCCCCTCAGGCCTATAGGGGCGGTCCAGAGACGAATACGACATGAGCTTGTTTCCTAAGGGGGAGCTACGGGGGCGCGACGGGAAAGGGAAGCCTGCGCTGCCCATACCATGCGCGCTTGCGCCCCTCAAACCAGCGTCTGCTCCCCCGAACCCTCCGCCTCCGCCTCCCCCTCCCCCTCCCCCTCCCCCTCCGCCTCCTCCTCCGGCCCCCCCGCTTCTTCCAAAGCTACCAGCACCGCCAGCGCCGCCACTTGCGGATGCAAGCGCTCCCCGCCTGCTCTCCCCCCCAGCCTCTCCGGCGTTCGCCCGCAATTCCCCTCCCCTGCCGCCCCCACTGCCCCTACTGCTCCCCCCACCACCTCCGCCACTTCCGCCAAATCCGCCATCACCGCCCCCTCCTCCCTCTCCCTTCTTAATCTCCTCCAGCCAGTCTAGACCGCCCTTACCTCCTCGGCTCCTAAAAGCGCCAGCCGGGTCTAGCGACGCGTAAGACACAAGCCGCTTCTCGGGGCGCAGCTGCGAGCCGCGCGGGGAGCCTCGCGGGGAGACGGAGAACGCAAGAGGAACCCCCGTGCTTCCCCCTCCGCCCCTGCTTCCGCTTCTCCCGCGGGGCGGGCCCCAGAGATCCCTTTCCGCCTGCTTCACCCCCCCGCTGGGAAGCCAAGCGGGAATTTCTCCGCCTATTGGCTTTCTGTCCGTATTGTATTGCTCCGCACGATCGCCCGCTAGGTGTTGGCTGCGTCTGGTAACCCTGTGCTCGGAAGCGGTTACAGCCTCCCTCGTCGCGCCGTCTGAAGAAAAATGAACGACTGAATGATTGGATACCTTTTTCCGACCCGGAGAACCGGTTATTGGGGATGCTGTGCCCGATCCCGCCGGGGATAACGCCGGAGATCGCGCCGGGGATACCGCCGGAGATACCGCCGAAGATTCCGCAGGGCTGTGAAAGGGAACGGAAGTGCTGGCGTCACCGCCGGCGGCGGAAATTTCGCGGAAAGTGATGGGCGCTTTGCTCGAGTCGCCGAACTGCATGCCCATTTCAACTAGATTTTCAAACGACGGCGGATGCGGTAGTAGTTCAGCCGAGCGAGTATCGGATTGGCTTGTATCGAGGTCATCAGACACGCGAGGCGAGCCACGATTGGCCCGCGCTCGCCTTCCTGATTCGCCGGCGAAATTGATGAAATCCGACGCGTCGACAGATGCGCGACGAGGTGGGCTGACCGAACCTTTCGAAAACTCTCGGCGAGACTTTGCCACGTAAGTCTCCGCCGCGCCTTCCTCGAAAGACGCGCACCGTCCACTCTGGCTGCCCTCCTCCTTCCCAAGCCCGAAAACGGAATAAATTACCCGGGGGCTAGACGCAGCTGACCTAGAATGGCGGGAGCTTGACGGCTCCAGCCCATTGCGGCGGCCGCTGTTTCCATTACCGCTGCTGCTGTAGTCTCCGCCAAGCCTCTTTCTATCTCCGCCAATGCCACCCATTTTATCCCCGCCAGGGACGTCTCCGCCGATTCCGCCTCCGCCAATCCCCCCCAAATCTCCCCCCCCGCTGGGCATGGACCAGCTCGCGGGGGGAGTCATGGGGAAATGGTTGCGGGTAACCCCGCCGGGGGGGGATTGATATGGAGAGTGCAGCGGCGAGCGAGGGGGTTTGCTGGAATAATCATGGTGATGATAATTCTGATGACCGTGAGATTCTAAACTGTTCTGGGTGGTAGAAGAGTAGGATGGACTGCCTCTCTCTCCTGATTGCGAAGGGTCACGATGGTCGTTGTCATGATGGTGAGAAGAACGAGCGGACGCCGGCCGTGCGTGCGTGACTACAGCGAGGGGTCGATACTGCCGGCGCACGAGCAGTGTCGAGCCGCTGACTGCCGGTTTTAACGGGCTATCAGTTCTCCCGTCCCCGTTATGAATGGCCTCGCCGGTAGAGGCATTGCGAGGTGACGGAGAAACGGATCTTGGCCGCATTGTCTTGATCAATTTCGTTAAATATATTAGAGACGAACAAAACGAAAGCTGCTATTGACGATTCTTATTTGAAGTCCGACCAAACTGCTGAGAGATTTGAGTGTAAGAAGGCTGGCGTTTGTAGAAGCTGAGATGTCTACGAATTAAACGCAACACACAGGCGACATTGCGGCGAAGATGGGTCGGTTGAGGATAAGGAAAAGGATAAGTATATGTTGAGCTGCCAGTAAACCAATATGTTGCATTCTCAAGATCCAGTTAGACGGGAAGGAAGGCGTGCGTGCTGTGAGTCATTTGAGGACGTTTCAGTTGAAGTATCAATGTTGAGAGGTGAGTGGTTGTTCCAAACGGTGACTCAACAGACCCAGACAACACATCCTACTCAATTGTTGATTTATTGAACTTGTGATGCATCCCGCTCCGCAGCAGACGAGAAAGCCTGCGTTGAGCTTGTGTTTACTGTAGAAATCTAGGTTTGGTTGCAGTGCAGGGCGAGGGCACTGGCAGCCAAGCTGTGTAGAGTGGAGCGCGGGGAGCGTGGTTGTGGGGAGAGAAACCATTCAACGAAAAGTAGAATCCAGTTACACCTGACCACAGACCAGGAAACGGGAAACCCTAACCGGTTTGTGAGACGTAGTGCGTGTATGGTGAGGATTCGGTCTATGTACAATGTGTTCACAAATGTTTCACTGGGGCTAATAGCACACCTGCTACTTCACATTTGCACACCTGACATGCTCGCTTTCATTCAATGCAATCTATCTGAAAGCGAGCAGTTCAGTGTGCAAATTTCAGACTCGGTGTGATGAAAAATGTAAACAGAGGCGGACAGCTGGGCGGACGCGCAGTGACAGGTTACGAGATCTATCATGAGAATCTACGCTGGCTTTGCAGAAATGAAATTGCATTCATTCCCCACGCACGAGGGCGGCGTGAAAATTGGGCAAACCGCCATATTTGTTGTCCGCCCTGATCGGTTCGGGGATTCATCGAGAGCCCCGTCTGATTTGTTCCATTTGGGTTGCCCTGCGTAGTTTGTACGGGCATTTCAAGAAACACGAGACTCACGATCCGGTTTTAGGTCTTCGTGGCTGGAAACCCAACCTACGGTCTCAAAAACCCTGAGAAGCTGGAGGCGGTGTAAGTCAGGGGTTACTGTATAAGTACCGTAGCAGCAGTTTCTTGCGTAACCCGTTTGGGACAAAAGAGAAGCAATTCCTTCTCTGAGCGGACCCACTTGACTTCACGTGATGTGACCAGAGCTGTCGATATCCCTGGGGGCAGAACTTGAGGCCCCCAGCTGCTGAAATTCTGACCCTGATTTTCAGGTAGGTGACCAAATTTTCGCCCTTAACGGTCAGGGGTGCAGGCCGAAGTGTAACTTGAAATCCGGGCTCCAATGTGCTGTGTACTTAACTAACCTAAACAGCATTATAGACAAGAAAATCACATACTTGTCACTACTAACCACTCCAGTCAACCTGTATGTCACAACTTCCAACTACAACTACAGCTGCACTACCTAGTGCATTTCTACTCATCTCCTGACTTCGACACTACACACACACTAGATTGGATAAAAATCGAGAGAAACATCCTCCACCTGGTGCCCTAATGTGCAACTTTCATGGAGAGGGGGGGTAGGGGGAGGGGGGTGTTCCGCAAGATTTTAGGGGGGAAGTCTGCGGAACCGAAAGTAGAACTTAGATTCAGGGGACGGCCCAGATTGCGCACTTAACGCGTCCGGGGAAGGGCCAAACGATGCCCTTCACTGGCACAGGTGCCAGTAGAATCAAACCCTTATAATGGTCGAGCTGCGCCAAACCTAACCCAAAATGTTCAGGGAATTCAGGGCAAATGCCCTTGAATCGACAGCCCTGGATGTGACTCTCTTTACTGCTCCAAGGCCGCAGGCATTTCATGATAGCGCGGCGCCAAGCTGGATCACCAATTTCATGATTCAACGTTATCCTTCGGAGCAGAATCAGGTCTGTCGAAGTTTCTGGGGCTCGTACAAATGGTTCCGCTATAAAGGCCCGCGCTAACAAAGTCCCATTTTCAAAAAGAGGAGCTTTTTCCTATAATTCCTATGTGTAGCCCCTCCTCTACAGTCCCCTTGCGGGTGGCTGAAAATGTACAGTAACGAATCTGATCCTTGTGATTCAGAGCGAATCAGTGGCTGAACCAATCAAATGGCAGAGTCAGATTACTAGTGCGACGTGTACAAGGTTTGCGAAATGTGAAGTTTCGAGACGAATCGAGCTTGCGAAGCCCGTGCGATTTTGGGTGCCACATCATCCTGGTTTCATGTGCCACGTAACACAGGTCGTACCCCTTGGAGGTGAGGTGGCGGGGCACAGGTGAAATAGACTTCGGCGTTGACCAGAGGAACTCATCCAGCGCGTTCAATTCGTGGTTTTCGTTACCCATAACACCCAATCGCTACCACCGGCTAAACAACATGGCCCGAGTCCCTAAGCGCTCTCGCATCCCACTCGCCACGAAACGGGCCATCTGTGAGCACTTTGCGCTGAATCCCCACCTTCGACACGAGGATTTGTCACGCTGGTGCAACACGAGGTTCGGAATCCTGCCTGACCGCAGCACCATTGGGAAAATCCTCCGTGGCGAGAGGAAGTGGCGCGCCGCGACAACAATCCAGGGCCGCACCTACCGTCTTCGCCATCCCAAGTTTCCCCTGCTCGAGTGCGAACTCCACGGCTGGGTTCGAAATGCATGTGAGGCTGGCGTTCCGCTGACGCTGAAATTGATTCAGGAGAAAGCACGTGCGCTTCGTCGGGAGTTGAACATTGACTCCCGCTTCCGCTGCTCAATCAGCTGGGTTCACCGTGCGATGCACCGTATGGGCTTCCGGAACCTCACTCGCGCGGGAGAAGCTGCAGACGCAGACATGGAGGCAGTAACAAGGGCCCGCCTCTGGCTTCCCGAGCTAATCTCGCTGCTTGGTGTGACACCGAAAGATCTTTTCAACTTCGACGAAACAGCACTTTTCCCGGCGTGTCAGCCACGGAAGACATGGGCGCTGGAGGTTCCTGTCCGCGGAAAAATTGCAAAAGACCGTGTGACCATCGCATTCCTGTGCAACGCGGACGGTTCGTCCTCATTCCGTCCAATGATTATTTCCAAAGTGCGTCGTCCGCGAGACTTCAGCGAGACCGGTTTTGACCCCGAGCCGTATGTTTATTGGCGCTACAACCGGCGCGGCTGGATGACTAGCGAGGCAAGTTCCACGGTCCAAGTTTGAAAACGTGTACAATTCTATTCCGTCCCTGCGTTCCTAGATGTGCAATAGCGCAGTACTACGTAGTAGTACTAGTGGCGTCTGATTTTCTTTACTCTCTTCAATGCGCAGATTTTCACATCCTTTATGGAATCGCTCAACGCAACCTTCTTTGCTGAGGACCGCCAGGTGGTTCTTCTCGTGGACAATGCAGCGAGCCACCGTGTTGATTCGGCGACCGCTTTGCGCGAAGACATACTGGGATTCCGCACCGTGAAACTGAGCAACTTGCGCATCGTACACCTCCCTCCGAACACCACCGCTTTCACGCAGCCCCTTGACCAGGGCGTGATCCGTGCAGTGAAAGCCCGCTTTCGGCAGCGGGTGATTGCTGATTGGCTGCATCGGTGGGACGACAGCGGGAGCAGCGGCACCCGCCAGACCGTGAAGCCAAAATCTTGGCAGATGGTCATGTGGGTGTTTGAGTCTTGGGATGATGTTGAACCTGAGACAATTCAGCGCTGCTGGTGGCACGCAGGCATTCTTCCTCGTGCCTGGATTCCCCTCTTCCCGCGCAACGTCACCGCTACTACATCGGACCCGGCAGCCACTAGTGAGCAGCTCGACTTGCTCTCCACGCAACTCCAGCGCCTCAATATCGGGCCAGCAGCAATGACGGCGCTGGAGTTCAACTCTGTTGACGACCAAGTTCCCACATGCGACTTCTTTGGGCCTGATCCGCTGGCGGACGAACCCCCTCGCACACACGGCAGTCCTCGTGCGGATCCCGTCCAGCCAAGTGGACCGGCCGACGCGGACATGCTCCGCGAGCGACGCCGCGTGGCTAGGAACGCCACTGAGATCCTTATCGGCTATGCGCGGGCGTCAAGGATCCTGCCAATGGATCTGGCGCAGATATTTGGCATCAGCAACTCTGATGTACTTGCGCGACTAGATCGAGCCAGTCGCGCGTACCTGAACCTGAACAACCCCCCACCTAGCAGCGGCAGTTACGCTGTGGGTGATGCACAAGATGCAACGGCGGTTATGGACGGCTTCGCGGAGGAAGCTGAATGGCTCCGCGACTTCTAAGAGAGACAACAATGCCCATTCGTGTGCAATATTTTGGTCAGTCCCTTCTGCAGTATGCGTGCCGCAAGTGCCATCTACCGGGCTTCAGTGTGGGTGAGGCTAATGTTTGGCGACGTGCCGTTGGTTTTTTGTGTCTGTGTTACTACTCTTCTTAACATGCGTGCATGTGTAAGCTGTTGGTGTTTGTGTGCGAGCAGGGAGCGTAGAATGTGCTTGTGCATGCTGGGATGTGATGACGGAATGTGTTTTGGGAGTGTCGCATGCTTGTGTGTGTGAGTGGTTGTGTTCTTGCCAATGTTTGATGGTTGCACGTGTGAGAACAAGTGCTGCTTGTTTGTGTGTTTGTTTTTGTACGTTTATAAGACATTTTTATTAATGCACCGTTTCAGTGACAGAGCGAGGAAATTGTTGTGCAGATGTTCAGACTATTGAGCAACAGTTCGGTTTCATTCCGGGCGACGGAATGGTAACATTCCGTCGCCCAGAGCAGCCGTACGATGCCGTACCAGCCATCATACGTAAGGACGACCTAAACCGCCCAGTTGGGACTATAGGGTTCAATTTGCCTGGGATTTTGAGGTTTTGACACATAGTCCCGCGCGGTTCGTGTTTTGGAGCGGGACTTAATGCGAGAACAACTGTACTTGCGCTCCCCAGCTCCTCCGCATCTGACCCTTGGTTGGGTGTAGGTGTGCTGTTTGGCGCACTTAACGGTCACGGGCGCACCCCAAAGTGAAAACTTGAAATCAGGGCATGTTTGAAGTTTGCACTTACAGGCCCTGTTCGGCTACAAAAATTGCACGTTTTTTCCCATCTAGGTTCGGTGTTGTGCGGGAGGTCTGGTTCCGAACGTTGGGAAGTTCGGAAACCAAAGGCAACTTGTCGTCCTGACACCGTGGCAACACGTCAGCAAAATATAAGGTGTATCTACAGTGTCCGCGCAAAGGGCAGAGAAATTAGACCAGGCCACCGGACCTCAACGGCCAACATGAACGACCCAAAAATCCCTCCACACATCCAACTCACTCAGGTTTATGGCCCTGGGTCACCCCTCGGTCAGGCCTCCCGCGGACGGAAAATCTGAAAAAAAAAAGTTGCTCACTACTGCTGCTACGTAGTCGAGGATGTTTCACTGGGCTGCTGTTCGTGTGTTCGCGGGGCCTTTTGCTGGCGATGCACATGTTTAAAAATACCCCCAATCTGGGCAGGAGGGCACTTGGGGGACGCAGGGCTTACCCCCCACGCTGCCCGAAATGGAAGTCTCAATTAGGCGGAAGTTGGGTACTCACGTTGAAAAGATGAGCAGCCATCTTCTGGCCTTCCCTTCTTGTGATTGGTCGTTGTCTGACTTCTGGGCCCACGTTAGGCTTGGGGTTGGGCGAGGGGTTCGGAGTTGTGTGGGGTGGGTAGCTCGGAATGAAGTCTTGTCGCACGAGGGTCGCAGGCGATTTTGGTGGTGCCGAACCACTCTCAACGGCCAACATGAACACTTTTCAGGCTCCCAACGGCCAAGATGACCTATTTTTAGTGCTCCCGAAGTGCTGCCGAACAGGGCCACACTGTATTTTACCAAGGGAATGTTCGGGTGCTCCAAGGCTGACTGAGACACACTACAGACACGAGGTTGGCTAGAAAACGCTAAGGGAAACATCCCCTTGGCGCGCTCTAGTGCAAGCAAAGGAGAAAGGGGGGGGTGGGGGGTGGCTCGCTCGGGCACCCTGGGGTGGGGGGGTCCTACGAGCGGAAACCAAAACTTAGATAAAGGGGAAGGACTGGTTTCGTCCCTTAACGCATCGGGGGAAGGATCGAACGAAGCACTTAGTGGCACGGGTGGGGTACGAATCTAGAACTTGCCGCATCGGAGCTGGAGCGTAACTAGCCCTTAATGTTCAGGGCATTAAGGGCATATGCCCTTGAATCCACAGGCCTGAGCAGAATGCAACATGTTGGCCCTGTTCGATAGGCTAATGCTAACGCTCGCGGAATCATCGCGGCTGTTTCGACGTAGGGTTTTTTTTCTGCGGTCAGCCCGTAATTTAGTGTCAAGGGGCTTTAACCCTCTGGACTCTGGGGTGTTAGTGTTAGCCTTTCGAACGCTGCTTTAGCCCTTCAAGATCATCCCCCCGAAAGCACCAAGACCCTTCTCACACGCACACAAGTTAGCCTAGCTCCAGCCCAGCCCTCGCACCCCCAAAATGGAGGTTGGCCAAAGGGATAGGCTAGGGTTCCATACGAGAGGGGATACCCACCCCATACCCCACGAAAGTTTTCCTAGCAGGGCCCATGCTCCAACCAACCTCACCCATCTCTGCCCTGGAACTCACTTGCCTTTGCAACTCTTGACGCGTGAGAGATGTGCAGTATTTTTTTCTCCCCTGATTTACCCAGTTTCCCGTGGGGAGCGGTGTAAAAGTTTAGATCCTGCCCAACTTGACACTGGTGGAAGGAGGGGTTGCAACATCGCCGAGACGACCCCCTCCTTCCGATCTCGGGATGGGCAGCTTCCGATCTCGGGATGGGCAGCTTCCGATCTCGGGGGGAGGGGGTTAGCCCTTGAAAATTTTATCGGAAGCCTCCTCCAAACGCTAGCCTAACACTAGCGCTGCAATGATGTGGCTGCCTATCGAACAGGGCCGTCAAAGTTCAACCCAGAGTTGTCAGCACGGTGATAATCGTGGAGGGAGGGACCAAGAAGGCTGACTGGTTTGGCTGGGGCTCACACAAAACGCGTCTGCCTGGCAGGAGAAGAATTATGTTGCCTAACATGGGTGTACGCTTGTTTGCCTTCCTGATCATGTGAGTAAAGAAATGTGACAGTGACAAGCCAATATGCAAATCAGTGAGTTTTTTTTTTTGGAAACCGTACTATGTTGCAAACATGTTAGTGTGTGAGGAAATTAGAACGAGAATGAAAATGACTATGGAATGAAAGTGATACAAATATGCAACCCTAGAGATGTGTACCCCATATGGGCTACCCCACTATAGCCTACACAACATTATAATTTGACACACCCCAATAGGCAAAGTGGGGGAGAACAAGGGGTCACAAGACCAGTCAAGCAAAGCAAAGCAAAGCTCAGGGTGGATCACAAAGTCACCACACATTCCGAGCACAAGTTCAAGGCCAGAAGGCCAGTTCACATGCAGCAGCACATATATATATATACATAAGAGGCTAAGCAAGCAAGAACACGAGTATATATATGTGACAGTACAAGCAAGGTAAAGAAGTGAGCAAGTGAAGCAAGACAGGGACAAGACCCAGCTGAGTGCAGAAGTGCTGATGATCACAAGGCGCAAGTGCCTTGGTGAAGACATCAGCAGTGTTGGCCTCAGAGACCACTTACGCAAGCCGCAACTGTCCACGCTGCTGTAGCTCATGAGCAAGGAAGTAGCGGAGAGCAATGTGCTTTGTTCTGTGCTCTAGTCGCTGCTCTGGACACAAGGCCAGCATGGCCTTGTTGTCTACGTACAGGACTGGAGGAGAACGAGGCGGCTCTCCAAGGTCGGTCAGCAAGTAGGTGAGCCAGCGAAGCTCCTGTGCAGCCATGGCCCCGGCGCAGATCTCAGCCTCACAACTGGAGCCGAGAACAGAAGACGAGCGAGTAGCCCGCCACGAAACAGAGCCGGAACCAAGGCTGAAGGTGTAACCCTGTGACGTCCGCTGCGTAGCCTGGTCGTCAGCCCAAGAAGCGTCCGCGTGCCCAGTGAGGACCACTGGACTCCGCCCTCCAAGCACTAGCCCCATGCCCGACGTACTGCACAAGTAGCGCAACACCCTCTTCGCCGCAGCCATGTGCTTTGGTCGGTGTCTCCAAGGAGCAACATAGCGTGCAAGAATGCTAAGAAGGTATGCAAGGTCAGGTCGTGTGCAGGTCATCAGGTACATGAGGCAGCCAATAAGCTCTGGATACGGGCCACTTGACTCTACGGACTCATCCGAAGGCAGAGCTGAGAGTGAGTGGCGAGTAGGCAGAGGAGTGGCCTGAGGCGAGGAGTACGTGAAGCCGAAGCGCTGAAGGACCTGCTGCACCATGTGTGACTGAGTCAGGGTAATGGTGCGGCGTGCTCTGTCCCGAGTGATCTGCAAGCCAAGGTAGCTGCGCAGTTCACCCAGGTCAGTGCACGTGTGTCTCTTCTGCAGCTTGGACTTCACGTAGGCGGGTCCAGCAGTGTCAGCTGTGGCAAAGACCAAGTCGTCGACGTACACGAGGTTGTAGAACGGCGGCAGAGAGGTGTCGGTGCGCAGAAACAGCGACGGGTCAGCAGTAGAAGGAGCAAACCCAAGAGCCGCAAGCGTAGTCCTCAGTGTGTCATGCCACTCACGTGGCGTCTGGCGAAGACCGTAGACTGGACGCCGGAGACTCCACTGGGTACCAGGAGGGAAAGACCCAGTGAAGCCAGGTGGGCGGCGCAGCCAGATCTCCTCGTGCAGGCTGCCCTGCAAGAAAGCAGTGCTGAAGTTGAGAGAGTGCAGCTCGTAGTCACGGTGAGCAGCAACGTGCAGCAGTACCCGAAGAGTGGTCATCTTTGGGGTGGGGGGGAAGGTCTGAAAGTAGTCAACTCCCTGCCGCTGACTGAAGCCACGAGCCACGTAACGCGCCTTGAAGACAGGCGTAGAACCCGGCGGCCGCTTCACCCTGAAGATCCATATGCCACTGACGATGTTCGCCCCAGGAGGGGGGACAGCGTCAACGTAGGTGCCTGTGGACTTCCAGGAAGCCATCTCTGCATCCATAGCTGCCTGCCACTGAGAGGAGTAGGGACCCTCTATCGCCTCCGCGTAAGAGCGCGGAGTCGGGATGTCAAGTGCATCCGGGTCTCCCTCAAGGGTAAGCAGTACGGACACGAGATGAGGTGAAGCAGCTGCCAGACACTGGAACTCCTCCTGCCTGTCCTCAAGGACGTCCGTGCCAAGGGCACACTCACCCCCGACGGACGGAGGACAGATAGACTCACCCTCAGCGACACGACTAGCAGCGTAGTCCAGACGACAG